ATCACATTAGTCCGTCCCCGTTGAAGAAGCTTTGCCCTCAAAGCTTTCCAACCTTGCTTCCAAACGAAATTCTCTAGAACCCTCCATTCAGGTTCACCGTCTTCTTGTCTCTTCTTCCCATACTTCCAGTGATAGAAAAGACAATCATCCACAGAAAGGTGAACGTTAGGCCCCGGCTCCTCTCCATAAAAGCCTCGAACCCCTTCTGCTAGCTCGACAGTCTTCGTGCCTTGTTTCGCAGCGGCGATCCTCAAAGCTTGTGAAATTCTGCAAGAAAGATCATCATGAAAATGATCGCGATAAACCATCTTCTCCTTTTCCACCGTGACCAACTCGTAAGAATCTCCATCTTCCTTCTGCAGTTCTGGACAGTTGTTCGACGATTTCTCTACTACCAGATTCGTCTCCTCCTCCTCATAACTCAAACTCTGCTGCTCCTCCTCAATATCGCGGACGGTCGTTGCTTGAACTAGGACAGCCAATGTCTTCTGCATATCCTTCCAAAGATCGGTGTCGACTAGTTTCTTTGTGCCTTCGACAAACTCATTCATGTCCGCCACATACTTTGGATCAATCATGGCTTGAAGCATATCTTGTGATCTTCTTTTCCTTGTCACTCAAATTGTCACTGAGTTTGAATCAGGCTCTAATACCACCTGATGCAAGCGGAATTCGGGAATCCAAACTCGCTCACGAATCAGAATATGTAGCTCTCACTTTTTAGGGTTTTTTCGAGATTTTCTCAAGAACACAAAAATAAAAGGATAGGATGGAAATGGATTGTCGTGCAACTTCAACACACGGGAAGAGGCTCGAACAATATCAGGGTAGATGCCCGACCACGATCAAGGAGAATACTTGATCGATACAGAGCTCAACGAGTTTGGAATCCACCAAACTCTCATTCAAGAGTAAATACTCAAGAACCAATGGGGTTTTCTATTCATCAAAGTCATCCTTCCCATATGCAATTCCTCCTTTATTTATAGAGGTTACAAAACAATGTATCTACGCTATTTAGAGCTTAATAATCCTCTCTATCAAATAAGGAATGCAAATACCAAAAGGGAAAGGAAATAAATCAATGACCCGTGCAAAAGGAGAAGGAAATAAAACAATGATCCGCCCAAAAGGGAAAAGAAATGAAGAAAGAATCTGTCATGAATCCTCCCAAAACAATGACTTAGTTCTCAAATAATTCTTTTATTCTTTCTGTCGAGTCCGGCTAGGGAATCACATCACTCCATCTCATCAAAATAGGGCATGGCCTGTAAATTGGGTGGAATTAACGCTGAAACAGACTTTTTCTACATTTTTGTCTCCTTAGGAGGGTTTAAATAAAGTCAGATTAGATGTTTAGAGTTGTTAAAACAAAGCTTTTACAGGTATTTGTCTGGTGGAGGAAGTTAGGGTTAGAAATTGAAATTGAAAATAGGGGTATAAACATTAATGTAGTATGATTTATGGCGAATTTTTTTTAAATTTTATAGCGACGAATATCGATTCAGGTCATTGACATGATCGATTGTTGGCTTTCTTCCTAGCACGGTGACAGGCGGCATTATGGATGGAGGGAGACAATGGCCTCTTACAGCCTGTTTGGATAGAATTCCAAAGGAATTAGAAATAGAATTTCATTTCCATTTCTAATATTTTTGGAATTCCAATTCAAATTCTTGTGTTTGGTACAATTCCATCAATATAGGAAATGAATTATATTTTTTTGTGCAAGTTATATTTATAAGTATAAGTTATGAGTTGTGGGTCCCATAAAGTTCCTGCTTGAGAGAGAAATGAAACGAAATTGCAAGCTTTTTGGGACTTAAACATCATTAAAGCAGTGGGTCCCATAAATTCCTATGCTTTTGTGGGCAAGTCCGATCAATTTCAGTCGGATTTCAATTTCCAGATTTTTGGCAGAAATGATTTCCACTTCCAACTAAATTTACCATCCAAACATAAGAATTGATTTAAAAGTAGGAAATGGAATTCCATTTCTCATAAATTTTATGGTTCCAAACAGGCTAGAGAGAGAGAGTGTATTGTGGCGCGGAAGGATGTGTCTGAAATAAATAGAAAGTATGAATGGTAACTGGTTAAGGTTTCCAAAAATAAGGCCAAAACTGTAAGACACATATATCAACGAGGACTTAAACCGTAAATCTCCATTTCAATATAAATAAAACGAGCAGAGCTCGAGTAGGAACAGACGGCGGGAGAAGAGAAGAGAGTACGAAGGCCGTAAGCCCATAACCCTAGAGAGGTTTTAGCAGCCGCTGGAAGCTTTCGAAGCCGAGGAGAGAAAGATAGCCGCCACAGAACCGCTGACTATTACCTCCGCCGCGAAATCATGCCGAAGTCCAAGCGCAACCGTGCAGGTCTGTCTCCTCCTCCCATCTGCGAGAAAATTTTGAATTGGGTAATTTTTTTTTGCGATCTTTGGTTTTCATTTTCTGCCGCTTGTTAAAAAAAATGTAGTTACCCTTTCGAAGACGAAGAAGAAGGGGAGAGAACACAAAGAAGGGGTTGTGAATGGAATAAGGGAAGCAGTGGAGAAGTACCCTTCTGTGTACGTGTTTGGTTATGAGAACATGAGGAATCTCAAGTTCAAGGAATTCAGAGACCAGCTCAAGTCCAGCAGCAGGTAAAGACTGTTTTTTGCTTTTGTTTGAATCCTATTTGTGTGTGGATTTTGTTTGTTGGTTGTTATTGTGCTCTGTTTGTGGTGGGAAGCGAAAGTTTAATGATGATTGGTGATGATAAATCCTGGGACTTGTACTTTAATCTGGATGTCGCAGAAAAGTTCTATACTTTATTGCATTTGGAATGGAAGGGAGCAAGTTTTGAGTTCATTCGGGTGCTTGTTTCGATACTCATTGTTGTAGTTGGCTCTTTTTGGGCATGGTTTCGCTTACCGGATTATTTTCATGGTGTTATTTGAACAGATTCTTCCTTGGGTCAAACAAAGTGATGCAGGTTGCTCTTGGTCGATCTGCTGCGGATGAGCTTAGACCGGGGATCCGCAAAGTGTCCAAGGTGTGCGTTTAGCCGTTACCAAACAGACTGTATTTTTTGTTTATGGTTGAGATACCAAGTGAAAAAGAGCTAATTGCTCCATGCAGCGATTTGTTATTAAGTAGTGTATATCTTTCTTGTCGCAGCTTCTGCGCGGAGATTCTGGTCTGTTAGCTACCAACTTGCCCAAAGAAGAAGTTGAAAGGTATAGATCTCTATTTATGAATTCAGAGTGTGCTCGTTCACTTGCAACTTATCTGCAATAATGAGTCTATCATGAGAATCGCAGACCTTGATTTAATGGAAAGTTTAATACTACTTTAGAATGTTCAAAGAATCCTATGTCATGTCTCAGAGTTTGTTTTCAAGATTATATCCAGTTGCATGAATCATGATATTTTAGGGATCACTGTACGTAGCTTGCTGTAATGAACATTAGTTCGTCATTTGACTCCAGTACTTGATGTAGTTTGGTTTGGTCAGTTATAAATCCAGGCCTGAGTACATCAGTTAGTCATACTCTCACTTAATCGAGTCAAAAGTAGACATCCTTGGTTCTCATTGCTGCTTTGTCTTGCAGCTTATTCCGTGAATATGAAGATTATGACTTTGCAAGGACCGGTAGTGATGCCACTGAAAAGGTCAGTTAGCATGTTGATTTAGTTTCCCATGTCCCTAGCCTTAATCTCTGATTGAGTGTTGTAAACTTGTAATGCATTTATTCGAATATCCCTTGTGCTTACCTCATTTGCTAAATTTTCTGTTTCTTCTATGATTTCCATATTTAACACAAAGTTTGATTGTTTCAGGTAGAACTGAAAGAAGGACCTCTGGAGCAATTTACTCATGAAATGGAGCCTTTTCTGCGTAAACAAGGGCTGCCTGTCCGATTGAACAAAGGTCCTTACTCCTTAGTAATATTTGTTTGCTGTCGGCCTGATAGTTCATTATATGTGGTAGTAATGTGAACTTCCTCATATGAAATTATCCATATGGACTGCAGGTGTTGTGGAACTTATTTCAGATTTCGTTGTCTGTGAAGAAGGAAAGCCTTTGTCACCTGAATCAGCACGGATACTGGTTAGTTATAGTCCTTTAGTCTGTCTCACATATCTATGCTGTTTCGTACTAGTTTTCCCCTGCAATTGGAACTTGGAAAGCTTGTCACTTTAAAGTTCCAGCACATAAGGTCTCTATGATGTTATCTGTGAATGGTTATTAAATAGCCCTTCATGAATCTGAAGCATTATGAGTATCACGATATAAAGCGTTACATTTCTTTGTTCAAGATGCATTTCTGATTAGTAGTTCATATGTTGATTCTGCTCGTATCAACTAAAGTGGACTGAATGAACTTTCATGATCTTCTATGCAGAGATTGTTGGGCATCAAGATGGCTACCTTCAAGCTTCACTTAATCTGCAGATGGAGCTCTGATGATTTTGAGCTGTATAAAGAGGGACTCGATGACGCTTCCGACATTGAATCTGCATGATTTATGCCTTTGTAGGGTGGTTAAATGTTGTAACCTTGTCAAATCTCATGGGACTGCACCAAGTGGATGTGTTATAGAAGTTCCATCTAAAACTCTTGTTTTGAACTCAGAAGTAATGCTTATAGACTAGCAGCGTTACTTTCAGTTTTGCCTCGTTATAGTTTTATTCTTGAATGCCAAGCTTGAAGGTTTCCCGTTTATGTGGAATGAAAATTGAGTCCGATGCTTCCTTTGACTCGGTTTTGCTTCAATGTGATACAAAATGGATCGCCAAGCTGCGTTTTTGTAGGCTTGTGGGTGATCCTGCTTTGTTTGGCAGAGGGCCAAAAAAGCATTATTTGGTGCCTTATTATCCCCATTTATAGTTTTATTTGTAGTGACATGGCAATCCCAATAATGAATATTTACCAAAACCGAAAAACAAAAGGGCAATTGACAGCAATCGCCTAAAAGGATTTGGAAAATGGAATCCAAACAACAATGAAAAAAACTCTTTCCAGTTCCATGACAATGGAGAAAAAGATCAATTTATCCAATCAATCATGCCAGTGTAGGATACAAGAGAAACCCCCCTGTGAATTATCCTACTACCCCCATGTAAAGAAGAAGAAAAAAAAACCCCCCTGATCACTTGGATAATTTGCTCTTCATCCTTCGTTTGTTTTTCAGACATGTAAAACTCGGGTGTATCTTACATACAGCTACTTGAAACACAAGGAAATACTAATATTTCTAGCAAAAACATACCTCCATTCTCATTTCCTCTTCCTGCCTACCACCTCTCATGGAGGTGTCATTTTGGAATGGATGGATAGAGATTCAAAATATCTTACTTTTCTGCCCTCTTCATTGTAGCTCTTCTTATGCTTGAAGAACCTGGCAGTGAACAATGTGACTCCTCAGGCGATTCCTTCCGGCAAGGCTCGACCAAAGATTCGAGACCAAAGTCTTGAACTGCCCTCTACCCGAAAGAGTCTCCCACAAATGTTCAGCGGGAGCTTCCCCAAGATCTTCAGATTTCGAAACGTCGACAACTGATATACTCATGTTGTTTCTAATGATGCACAGCTTCCCGTTCAGCGGAACAAGAGCAGCTGCTTCCAAAGCGCAAGAATTCCCCAGGTGCAACTTGCTATCGATATGCTTGCTCCACGAATCAGTCTCTTCGTCATAAACCCTAAGCTTGCAGCCATCCTTGCAGTCTAACGCATAGAGGTTTCCGTTCAAAGAAGCACTTGGGTTTCTCCACCCTGCCACCATGCCATCATAAACAGGATACCAGCTATCAGTTCCGGGCTGGTAGACTTCACTCAAAACTTGTCTGTGAGTCCCGAGTCCTTTAAGATACCACTTGCCCTCATAAACTACCCCAATGAATGGCACCATTGCTGTACTCATATCAGAAATCAGTGACCATCTGTTCTTATTGGGATCATAAACCTCAGCTGATCTCAATGGACGGTGAACACCCTCATTCTCCCCACCTGCTACATACAAACAGTTGTTTATAACACACGAGCCAAAGAAATGCCTTCTTCTGAGCATGTCGGGTGCACGGTGCCACTTATTAGTTCTGGCACTGTAAAAGATGACCCGTCTCATTGATCCCTTCAAAGGGTCTTTACCACCAAACAAGTAGAGATTACAGCCACTAAGAACAGCTGAACCAAAACCTAGGGCTTCAGAGTATTCCTTGGGGACAGGTGGAAGTGGCTGCCATAGCTGATATATGGGATCAAAAGCATGCCAAGAAATTTTCCCATCTCGGTCTCTCTTGATCACGTATACCCATTCCTCAGAGATCCCGAGATTCTTTCGAAGCGAGTAGAAGAAGTTTCCAGATAAGAGACGGTACCATCTCTTGCATACGAGTCGAAGCTTTCGATGCTCGGCCCTAGGTACTCGGATTAAGCATGCGATGGCGAGATCATCAGGGAGTCCTGGCAGCAATGGGGATTGATTTCGGTTTCTATCGCCTCTTGAGGGTTTGTGTCTAGTTGGATGAATTGATGGTCTGATGTCTGGCTGAAGACATAGCTTGCTACCTGGGACGTACTTTTTCGCACCTGCCACCGTTTTGAGTCCTGCATCTACTCTACATAAGCAAGCTGTTGTGTCAACCTGCGGAAATTACATTGATACCAATATATGAAATTCGTCAGTTAAGCTTTATATGGTATAGAGGATGTTACAATTAGGAGGGAAGAACAAGCTGCATGATTTCATCAGATTGGTGAGTTAGTCCTCAGCAATTGATTAGCATCTCTAATTCTCCACAAAGGTGTCATATAAAGTCAAACAAATACAAAATGATTCCTTTTCCCATTGAAAGAATTTCCCTTTGAGATCTCAAACTGAAGATCAAACCCCAAAATCCTAACACAAGAAATGCTCAACTGAAGTCATTTGCATACAGGATGAGCTGCTGCGCATCAAAAGACCTTAGCATCCCCCACTAAATACATTCCAAATGGAAGGGTAAACAAAAGGGGAACAGCCTAAGATTAGAACTTGTTAAAACCAGTGAGTATGCTGAAAAACAAAGGGCTTAGAATGAGACTTACCAAAGGAGGCTGGTTCATTCTCTCCGCATCTCTCATCCTCCAAGGATCCGCCATGGCCAGATTTAACTTATGTCAATACAGAAGTTCACTCCTTTCAAAATCAGAAGGGCACAATCTAAATCATGACGCCCCTCACTCACTGCTGTTAAAAACACAGAATTCAGAGGAATCTAAAATGCATGAATGATGAAAGCAAACTCTGACCAACTCTTGGAACTCGCTTTCAATCTACACCATACCAGCCCTTCCTTCTCTCTCACACCAAATCAAAAAAAGACCCCAAATTCACCTCCAACCAACTGTCACAAACTCGGAACCAGCTCCAAAAGTGACACTTTGAGGTGCTATCGAAGCAAACCCAGCTCCATTCCAACATCAAAATCAAAACCCATCTCGCAAATTCAGAGAATTGACCGCAGGAAGCGAAGGGGAGAAAGGGAAGCGAGAAAAAAGACTCCGACTTTATCTTCTGGGGAGACAACCCAAATGCGAGACAGCAAGAAGAATTAAGAGCAGAGGCAAGTCGTAGGGCAAGAGCATTTGAGAAACAGGAAAACAGATGGAGACCCTTCTTTCTCCATTACTTTTTTCCACCATTAAAAACACCCCCCAAGTTTGTCAAAATGAACCGGCCCCGACCAGAAGGTCCGACCCAGACGCCATAGAGGTTCGAATTTCTAGAAAACCAAAGACTAAACTAATCGAACATTCGGAAAAGGTACCAAAAAAAAAAAGCGGTGGCTTTGACCACCGCGGTGCCGCTCGCCGGCAGGGAGAAAAAAAGATCCCACGGCGGCAGGTGGAAGAACTGAAGAAGGGAGCTACGATGGATGGAAAGATTGGATTAGGAGTGGAGACTGAGAGAGGGTTTGGGTAATTATTAGGTGAGAGTTGAGACAAAGGAGGAAGGAAGGAGATCATGGAGGGACGGTGGGGAGAGAAAATGAAGGATTTTCTTTTTTCGTTGCGAATTATGATAAGAGACCATTTTTAATTTTTATCTCCCCCTTTTGTTGTCGTGCATAATACTTTGAAAATTTATTTTGTAAGAAGTTGGGAATACTGAATATTAATAGCTTGGGTCCCCATTGTGATTAATGTGTAACACCATGTGAAAACCTAACACCTAACTAATTTTGTGTACTATATTTGTTTGAGTTGGTCTATTTAAAGAAAGGAGTTAAGGTTTTGGAATGGGAGACTTTGAGGTAAATAAAAAATGTAAATCAACGAGACAAGCGACACTGAGTTATAAAAGTTTGCGATAATAGAAAATTCTATACATAAAATGGGAGATAACATAAAATTTGGAGCTATGTAAAAGGTGAATTTTTTCAACCATTCAATTTCGTGATTCAATCAACTTATGAGTAGTGATAACATAGCAAAAAGATGGAGATTAGATTAATAGATTGAAAGAGTTTGATCATCAAATCGATCCAATAGTACATTGAAATGATCAAGAAGCCGACATTGCATGAATAAATAAGAGGCCGGCTGATTTGATGCACACAAATTAAACCCCTAACTCCCATGTCATTGAGACAACCACATCTCGGGCATGAACTTTGGGGGACTACAAATTGTCACTCGATTATCCTACCAACTAGGCTAGTTAACAAAAGGATCATTGCAATGGTTTTCGAGTTATAGATCACTCGAAAAGCATTACGTTGTGACAATGTTATTATGATTGTATACTTAGGGAAACAAACATGTTATTGCCGATCGTGGTCCATTATGCCTGAAGATTTCATCGAAATGTTGAGTCAATGAGTGAACCACACCAGAAGGCATAGTGTGGGAAGAATCTCGTATAAAAAGCACTCTTCTTTACTAGTACTATCCAACCTGTTGATATGACTTGAATTAATTGGATAATTTGTGGTCGACTAGCTGTTACATGGATCTCGCTGTGTATGGGCTTATACACGTTCGGATTTCTGTTCTGGACCTGGTCTATAACATTATTATTTACCATATTAGATTAGGGTTAGGTCGATTGGAGAAGTACTATATTTACTTCTCATATCCCTCCGTAATATGTAATCTCCTGACGTATGATGAACCTTACTCTCTCCCGCTCGTGGAATAACTAAGACATTCTGTTAGTGAACCACGTAAATCTATGTATTTTTTACCATTTTACTATAATTATCTTTATTACACGATTATCCCGATTTGTTCTTCATACAACCAAATACTTGGGTTTTTTCAAATCTCTACTTCCAATCAAACCACTTGGGATTGTGAAGAGAAAGGACAGCCATAGCAAACCTAAACCATTGCTTTTCATTTTTCTATGTGGGAGGAAAAGGTCGAAAAAAGTACAATTAACAAATCCACGATAACAATAAGACGTGAGATTGGCAGATAGCTATTTGTTCTCTTCCACCTCACAAAATCACCCTCTGTTTTCTTATGGGACCAAAAGTAGTGAACCAAAGAGAGTCAAACACTCCCTCTGCCCTATATAAAAAAGTAAAAAATCAAAATAAAAAAATGGTAATAACTAATAATAAAATTTCCCATTGGAAAAAGAGAAGACAAAGATTCAAAAAAGATTTATTTTTCTTGCCCCACCACTTCACACTCCACTAAATTTGTGCATGGAAGAGGTTTTGGTAACCTGTGTGTTGGTCTACTGTAGCATGGATGCTCTTCCACCTGTCGGGATCTTTGATGAACTGGCGGTGGCCGGCGGGACCCGACCGCCGGCTGACGTGTAGGCATTTTGTGGAGTGAGTGAGTTGGATGATTGATACCTTGGCTACCTAAGCTCGTTTGTCTTCTAAACTATACTCTATCAAATACTAATTAATCTTCTTTGTTTCTTTGATATCGCTAGATCAATAACAAGTTGGGTTTTAATGTTATATATATATATATGATTAAGAATTAAGATTAGTTCTATTCAACAATCGATGTAATCTGTTTGTTAAATCTATCTTTCTTCTCCTTTGCTTTGCTTTTGAAATACTATTTTTTATTACACACATAACTACTTATTCTCTTTGTACTTGTTAGGGTCGATATGCACAAAGTTTTAAGTTAATTAATTATTGATGTCCACAGTAAACCAGTCTTCACAAAACTCTGCCAGCTGAAATTTTATTATTTTTTGCTGCAGAGAGATTTGGATTTTACCTATAAAACAAAGCCAGACAAAACTAAAGGATTGTAATTTCTCATTAATAAACTGTAACAAGCATTACTAATTAGGGAGTAGGGACTATAGTAGTGTGACCATTCTTACTAAAACAAGGCTCAATTTATATTGAGAATTTATGTACATTCATCATTACTAATCCGGGGACGACGGTTATTAATCATGTGCATTGTCTTTACCAGCAATAAGGGATCAATCATTACTCACTAAGCATGGGATTCATCACTAACGAGGTTCTCAATCACGAAGGTCTGGAATCTGGATAGACAACTGCGACAAATCTGCATGACGACGAACTACAATTATCTATCATGATCACTAGATACTGTTTGTTTCGCTCGAGATTTATGATCCTCTCCGAGAGGATAGGGCACGACGATGTTTGTTGGGAGAACGATCGATGACGTTGTAGGAATGAATGGACTCATTTAGGTCTTTTGCATATCTTTGTGATAACACATTCTACATGTTGTGATGCACTCAATATGGATTCGGCGGAATAATCATGCATATTTTCTTGACTTGAGCTAGGTATCGACTAGTGTCATCGAGCATGCATATGATCGAAGATTGAGAGCAATATAGGATACGAGAATATAGATTGGATTAGATTGAGTGTCTAGAACACATAATTATTTGTAGATATATTCTCTGTCTACTTTCTTGTCTAAATAACACATATATTGTCATTAAAAAAGAAACAATTAATGACTTCATCTCCTAAATGTTAATTTTTCAAGGATTGAAATACCGTACTGGAGGTCGTACCGAAAAAGTCAGCGGTAGGGTATTTTATGCTAAAATCATGGTTTAACTATGGTTCAACCATATTATACTGCTAAATACTGCCTACTGGTTTTGCTTCTGATAAAAGGTTTTTCAGGTCGAATCACCGGTACGGTATGGTATTTTAATCATTGAATTTTTGCACAAAATATGGTGAGGAAAAGTTACGATCTTTTGTAGTTAGAGCAATGAAGAAGGATGAGCCGATGAGGAGGTGGCGATTTGGGTTGACTGAAATGTTACCAAAATATTCAAATCAATTGAAACCTATTGGTTCAACGTTGGGACTGAAAGGGAAGTTTGGTATTAGATAACCCTCGTAGACAATAAAGACTTAGAAAGGGATGTCGATCCCAGCATTTGAACTACTAGGTGACGATTTGTATGCGAATAAGAGTTTGATCTAGTTATAATATCGCTAGTTTTGAACCTAAAGGTTTTAAATTCGAATTCCTAATCGAATTTTTTGGGTGAAGGGTTGCCTCGCCATACGTTCCCGCTCTTTCTGAAAAAATTGCTGGCTGCGGTGCATGACCCTGCTTTGGTGATGTCTATAGTGCTGTGCTGTGGCGGATTTGGCGCTCCCGTAACTGGGTCGTCTTTGAAGGCAAACAGTACATGATCCCTGTCTTGATGCGGCAAGTCCATCAACAAGTCCAGGAATGGCTTAGTTTACCTCGGGACCAGAATGAGCAGCTTGCGCGACTCCCGGCACCTTCCTTAACCTTGGATGGAGCTACAACGGCTATTTGTATGTGGGATGGGGCTGTGCGGGTGGGTTCTCATGCGGCGGGGGGATGATTATCCTCAATCCCGATAGAGAGGTCATCCTTGCGAAGGGGGTTCAGTTCCCGGTCCTTGATAATCCAATGATGGTGGAGGCTCTGGTCCTCCGGGAGGCGATTGGTTGGTGTGTGGCTAATGGATTCACTGACATGAGGTTTGAAGGTGATGCCCAGATTTTAATTGAGAAGATTCTTCGGAAAGACGTTCGGGATAATCATATAGGGGCAATTCTGGTGGAGATAGTCAATTTATTTGCTTCCAATGTAGGTTTCACTGTTCGATTTGTAGGTCGACGAAATAATAGGGTAGCTCATTTGGTAGCTAGACAGGCCCTGTCCTTGTTCCCGACTACTTGTCGCTTGTTTGATTTTCGGGCCTGGCTGTATTCCAGGATGTAATGATCTATGGGTTTAATCTAATGATTATCTTTTGTCAAAAAAAAAAAAAAATCGAATTATGAGAATTTAAAAGTTTGAATAATGAGCTGTGGGTTTTACTTTTCTTGCCCTTTGAATGATGAAACCATAAGGGATATTAGCTATAAATGATAAAGGTTGTTATCAATGTGTAACATTCATTAAGAAACCAAATCAATATTATATCATAAGTCGTTTATCTGCTTCCAAATTACGACATTGAAAAAATTCATTCAAAATTTGATGACTGCATGCTGATCCCATGCAGTATGAAGTTGACAATTTTCTTTTAGGTTCATTGAAATACGCCCTCATGAGATACATATTTTAGAAAATGAGCCGTAAAAAGAATGATGTGAGCTAAATTGCGAGAGAAAAAGGAAATTATACGCGATGTAAATACGAAGGTGTTGTAGCCAAGTGGTATCAATTCATGCTAGAGTTGTAACTCTCGAAGTGTTGGATTCAAATTCCTTTAAAACCCTGGTTTCCCCCCTCTCCTTCAATGTTATATTAATATTTAGCTATGGCTCATACAAAAAATATTAACGTGTTAACCCAGCATGAAGAAATTCCGAATTAAGTTACTTATTCATAATTATAATGCACAAATATATTCTGTATAAGAAAACTACTGTATTTGAAAAAAGAACGTCATTAACCCTTTCGCCAATATCTGAGCATAATTTTGTCAATTCAATAAATTTTGCACTCTAGCCGTGTTGAGATTATACGGAAAAAACACGCCGCTCTACCTAAATTCATCAGTACTTCTAAAATAATCCTAACCTTTGGAGTTTATAAATG